TGAGAGGGAGATGGGGAAGTTGAGGAAGGCTGCATTTCGACAGATTGCTGCAGTGTAGATTTATAGTAGAGAAGTAAAGAGTGGAGGTGGGGAATCAACTAGAAAAGGTGATAAATGCATGATGGGGGACATCCATAATGAGAACGAAAGATGTGGATTGCAAAAACAGCCAGGAGGTAAGTGAGGATGGAGACACGGTGGGGGAGGCTCCCAGGTTTCTGGCTTGTTCATGCATGGATTATGAGGCCATGAGGCCGTGAATGGAGATAAGAAAAACAGGAATAGGAACAAGTCTGGAAGGATGATGATGTAGATGATGGCTAACATTTATTAATCACTTTTATGGATCAGGCACTGTGCCAAGAGTTTTCACACATTTTCTCTTAACCCTGGGAAGTAGATATTATTCTCAATTTCTAGATGAGGAGAATAAAACTTTGAGATATTGAATAGCTTGGCCAAATCAGCACAGTTGGTGAGTGGTGGAAACAGGTTAGAATCAAAGCATCCTGGTTCCAGGAGCAAGGTTGTTAACCATGAGAGGGGTGTGTGTGTGTGTGTGTGTGTGTGTGTGTGTGTGTGTGTGCGCGTGTAGAGCCTGAGAAGCACTCATAGAGAAGGGGAGGGGTATTGGCATAGAGGGGTCCTCAGGGGTTCAGACTCTGATGTTAACGAAGTAGACAGAGGGTAAGGGTCCCTTACATGAAAGAAAACTAGCCTCCTCTGATTTTTAAATCAAAACACATGACTGCTCTCTGAACAACAGAAAACTAGGCAAGCACCAACAGCAGCATGAAATAAAGATGTCCACCAAGCTAAGCTGACATATTAATTATAGTAGTTACTACACTGCATAGTGATCATCCTGGACAAGGATTAAGCACTGTACATAAATAGTAATAATTAGTGTAGTAGTCAGCCTTCCCATGCCTGGGACAAATTACCCAACACCTACAGTTTAAGGGAGGAGAGGTTTATTTCACTCACAGTTTCAGAAGACTCAGTCCATGGTTGGCTGGCTCCAAGGCAGAAATATTGTGGCAGGAAGGTGAGGTTTAACAAAATGCTTAGCTCAGGGCAGCCAGGAAGCAGAGCATGGGAACAGTGACAGAGAAGAAGGGGGTCAAGGGACCATATGTGGAGCCAAGGTCACACCTCTATGACCCATAAGACACACCCAGAAAAGGGCTTTACTAATCCCCTGGGCAGCAACCAAGCTAATGAAGTTGACACTCCACCTTAACCATCACAGTAAGTCTAGCACAAGTTTCCTAAACCGTGTCCTGTGGAACAGGTGTCAATAGTTTCTGCAGATGTTAATATATGGATAAAAAAAAGGTTTCAGAGTCAGATAAATTTAGGAAATTCTGGTAAGGTTTAGATAGGTAAACTCCTGCTTTATACTTTTTACACTTTTTCCTCATTGTTAGAAGGCATTATAATGGGATGACTAAGATGGAAGGCACTGGAAACATACAGCCTGGGCTTGAGTCCTGCCACTGTCAAGCTGGGTAATCTTTGACAAGTAACAGAACTTCTGTAAGATGACATTTGCTCAACTGCAGGGGGAATAGTAATATATTCACTTCAAAAGCCAGCTCCCAGGTTTAAATAGAATTCACTGCATTTGCAATGGTGAAATTAGAGCCTGGTACAGAGTGAGGGCTCCAGGAGGGTTAGTTATTATCTATAAACTATACTATTATTAACAAGTGTCCCTCTTATCCTATAGAGTTTGGTCCTTGCCTCCCCCACACACACACATACTAAGGCTCACATTTTTGAAAAGCCAAAAATCTTGGCTTTGACTCTTGTCATCTGAAGTTCTTGGTTCTCCTGCTTCCACCCCACTACAACCCATACTGGGAATGATTGAACTCTTCCCCTACCATACTCCAAGGAAGGGGAGCAGGGCGAATTTATGCCCTGGCAGCATGGCCTTTAAATGGCTATTGCTGACTCATAATCACCTTTATGCACACTTGAAAAGGGTCACAAAGGTGGACACTGGCCTCTACTAGGACATATTACTTAGCAAGTGGAGTGCAAGCTATGTTTTAGCCCTCATTTGTTTCCTCAGATACCCTTGTGCAGTGAACAACCTACACAACCATGCACACCAGTTCTGATTTTTGGAAGGGGCTGCGAGTTAATGAATAATGGGAAAAGAGTACTAGCTTTCTTTCTCTAAGCAGCCTATAATACTAGCTCTGCAAAAGCCCTAAGTGAATAAACCCATCCTTGTTTTGCTCCTCTTTCCCCATATGTGCCCCTGCTATTAACACAGAACTGGGGGCTGGGGATTTAGCTCAGCGGCACAGCGCCTGCCTGGCAAGCGTGAGGTCCTGAGTTCAATTCCCTGTACCGGAAAATAAAACAAAACAAAACAACACAGAACTGATATCAGAATACCTTTTCTGTGAGAGGGACAGATACCCCAGGTCTTGTCTGTATCTCTAGACTCCCTGATTGAGGAGAGGAAAAGACAACTATGGAAAGCAGACGTCAGAGGGAACAATTTCCCAGGTTTACCTTGGGCCATCATGAACGCTAACTTATGATTAGCGACCAGAGCAGGTCAGGGCCAGAGCAAGTCTGACTTTCTGACTGTGGCTTGGGGCAGGGAAGGGGAAAAGAATTCCCACTATGTGGGCAAAATGCCTGTCTCCTAGTAAAGACTCTATACTTCCTTTAGATTTCCTGTATGAAACACCCGGGGAAGAAAAGTCATTTCCTGCGAGTCTTCTGGGGGTGGGTTGGGTAGTGTGGAGGGCAGCAACACTCGATGTGCACGTTCACACACACAGTCTTGGGCACCTACACAGGACCTACTGTCTGGTACCCCTTTTCCTGCTGCTAGGCAAGTCTAGTCTGACCAGGCCTGATCTGGCAACGGTTCTACCCTCTCTGAACCTTGGTTCTCTCTCTAAAGTGATTTTTAAGGCTTTCACAGTACTGATGGGCTTTGGGTTACACCTCTAGGGCGTTGTTCACCCCTAATCATGTCTAACTGGGCAGGTAACAGGATATGGCTTACGTTTACCTTTATCCCAAAAGAACCCCAAGACCATAAACCTATGAAGACAGCAGAAGCTCGTGTAGCCCCCAAGACAAGTGTGTGTGTGTGTGTGTGACCTTTATCCCAAAAGAACCCCAAGACCATAAACCTATGAAGACAGCAGAAGCTCGTGTAGCCCCCAAGACAAAGTTCCCTCTCACAGTTTTGCTTAGTGTCTGCCTCCTTTTCTCTTGATGACAAATACTGACTGGGGCCCCAGCTGGGGGTTAGTTAGGTCGGTGGCCTTCAGACTCAGGAACAAAGGCTGAGTGGGGGGGAGAAGGGACCTTGCCAGAATCTGAGGGGGTGGGGTGGGGGTTGTTTTATGCCTTCACCTCAAAACGGGGCTGGCTATCCTGTCCCTCCCACAATTTGGGGGGTCCTGAGGGAAAGGGTTGTCCTCCTGTCTCTTCTCCTGAGGCTGGTGATCTAGGTTGGGACCTGTACCCTTTCCATTCGCTCTCTGGGTCTGAAACCTCCATCCCCTTCCCCTCTCTGCCTTTTTTCTCCCTGGGATTGGGGTCTCCACGCCCCTCCTTCTCCTCCTCTCCAGGGCCTGGCCTTTCCAACCCGGGACGAAGGGGTCTGCATTCTTCTCTTTTCTCTTGTGACGGCCCCAGCTCCCTCCCCCCACCGTCTCCAGCTCGCCGCCCCGCCCCCTCCGCCCCGAGGCATTGTGGGAGGAAACAAGATGTGGGGCGAGAGCGGCGCGGGGAGAAGCCCGCAGTGCGGGGCCGGGCGGGCTCAGCCAATAGGGAGCTCGAACGGCGGCGCGCGCTG